CAGCAGGAACCACAGTTTTCACCATTCTTACTGCTCTTCACAACCAGATATGAACGGCCGAAAGCTGACCAGGCTTGCTATTTTTGTTGTTTTATATTTAGGTCTCAGATAAAATTTTACAACTCAGCTAGAAGAGTGAAGGATCACATCTTAAAGTAGTGTGGTTGAGTGCATTGGTGAATTAAGAATCAGGCATTTATTCTTTAAGTACTTATAATGACATTCCTTCCTTTTCTTTCTCTTTTATATCTGGAGAGTATCACGAGTATACTAATATTCCATCTCTTACGTATACCCAAAGAAATTAAAAGAAAAAACGAAAAAAATCACGAAAACTTCGAGGACTAATGATTATTGCTCTATAAGCCTCTGAAATTATCATATATGTCAGTAACTAAAGTTGTGCTTATAAATTCCAGAGCTCTTCTATATTCATGTCTTAAGGAGGACACACATTAAGAAAAACGGAGTTTCCAGAGAATTTTCAACCCCAATCCCCCGCATGAATGAATATGATCAGCAACGAGGGTGAGGGCTGTTAAATATATCAAGTTTTTACACGCCAAGAATCATAGAAAACGATCAAGAGATTGAAGTCTACCAAGAAATGATAGAATTACAAACAGAACATTGTCTTTCAATTGGATAAGTTTCTTATGAGGAGGGGAATTGCGTCCATCGAATTAATTATATGTGGTTTCTTATTAGATGGAAACCAATTATATATAGACATGGCAAGCAAATACATGGAGAAACAAGTTCAAGGAATTTAGGAATTTTTCTGAGGGTGGGCTAATATTTTTTTCTTCACATTATATATAAATAAACATCAAATTAAACACAAATTATCAAACATCAAACAAACATTCAAGGGCGGAACCATGAATTTTTTAATGGGTGGCTTAGTTAAAGTTATTAGCTTAAAATCTATTGACATTTTTTTTCTGGTACTAACAGTTTGTAACACCCCGACCGTTTTTTCTATGAATAAAAATATACATTAAATCATATAAATCATACAAATCACTCTAATTGTAAACACAAGGAAAAAAACATGGAATTATAGCCATATTATTCACGAAAGGGTGAATTTTATTTAGAAAAATGCTTCTCTTTAAGAGATACGTTAATGGAAAAGGATTAAAATTGATGTTTGGGGCAAAGTTTAACACCAAATATAGATGTGGAAGACCTTTGACTTTGACTATTGGTGCAGTAGCACTGGCGGACATAGGAATTTTTTAGCCAATGTGCAATTTTAAAAAGCTACAAAACTCTTTGTGGATTGAACATCTAAAGCTTTTTACCTATATGAAAAATTGTAAAAATATTGTTGAAGTATGAAAATTGATTTTTCGGAATAATCATTTCTCAAGATAATTTTTGGCTGCTTCACATCAAATAAGAAAACTTGATTTTATGGGATTTTAGTATGAAATATATATTGATTTAATGATTCATCATTCTTATCCTAAATCGTATTTTGAACTAAACCGATTTTTCATATTTAGATTTGGTGGGAATTTGATTTTTTAGTATTTTTATTTGAATCCAAATGGGGGATACTTCCTTATTTACATTGTAAACTTAAGTAAATGGAATAATATAAAAATAAATGAATGTAAAAGGACTAAGACATTTACTTAATGCTGAAAATGGAAATAAGGTAATCTTTACACCTGGAGCACCACCACCAACTGAGCAAATAGGTAATTTGAAGCACCTACAATGGTTTTTCCGACTAGAGGAGGTGCAACTGCACCTTCTTGCGTCTTAATAAGTCCGCCACTGAAAGTAGGTAAGGGTTGGTGTGGCTGGGGGAAGTGGAGGGTAGGGAAGGGTTTTTTTTTGTTTTTTTGTTTTTTTGTTAAATTTATTTTTAATA